TCGAAAAGGTAACCCGATCAAGAATAATACCGTGCGTCAGTCGTCTTGACAGCCAAAGTAATCAAAGCCTCAGAAACAAAGGCACTGTGCCTCTGTCTTGGCCAGTTCTGCAAAACGGATTGCCAGTAAGTAGTACTCCGAGTCATGCAAAGAAAAATACACATCTTTCTTTCACTCTACCTTTTTTTTTTCAGGCCAGGAAGCGCAGAGTTGATTTTGGCAGAGTTGGAAGCCAAAAGACTTTCATTAATATATCAGACACTGCGCTGCACTCGAGGCCTTTCTTTTATTGGTAATGCCAAAAGAAAAGAGTTGGTCTCCATCGGTGACATGTATTGTTTTTGAATGAACGCCAGACCTTGTGGTGCAAGGAAAGGCACAGAGTCCATCCATCATTTAGGTGTGACACCGTATCATATGACAGTATGCTATAGTGGGTAAGAACATCTCCGAAGACTGGACGGATGCTAACTCAACCCGTTCTCCTCACACGGTTCAGCCCAACAGATGGTTTCTTTTACAAGCTGAATTTATATCTATTTGTCAAGAGTGAAGAAGGAGAAATTTGGTAGCAGTCCTTGTTTATGCGAGGAGACCCGCCACTCCTGATCTGTTCCCTGTCATACAAAAGCCTGACTACTGAGAAGCATGAATTTAGTCAAGTCCTTTAACAACAAGTCAATTCAGCATAAACAAGCAAGATTTACTCTAAATCTTTCTTGTCACTATGTAAACTACATTGCTTTAGACAGAATTGTTCAGCTCAGATTTGTGTAGCTGCTTATCTCGCCTTTCAAAAGTGTCGCCACCACTCAAAGCTCAAGTGCCTTTAAAGAGTCAAATTCAACTAGCCTGACCCAGCATTGACCCAAACCCTCTCCAGAATCCTTACAGCCCATGCCATGAACCTCCTGCTGGGAAGTGGTCATTTGTGCATCGAGTGGAGAAAAAAAAGCCTGTTCTCAGTTGGAGAATTGTGTACCATCCTCCTAATCCAGGCTGGAGCAGGTTTGAGATAAGGATAAAATCCTCCAGACCCCCCTGACAGCTCACCCCGCAGACCCTGTGGGATGAAGGACAGACAAATGTTCTTTCTCCATCTACCTCCATCCTCCTGGTCTCTGCACGCATACTGAAAACACACAAGCATGTCATGTTTCAAGACGGCATTACAGAACATCAATGCATGTAGAGCCCTGGAGGGGAGGGGGTGCATTAAACAAGTACTTTAAAAACATTCCTCTCTAGTAAAAATAAACCTGAGACAAATGAAAAACACTTGCTCTGACTCAAACATATACTATATCGAATGCATCTTTACTACAATACATGTAAACAACAACAGTCACACACACATTACGTAATCAGTAATTTGAGAAAAGACAGAATTTCTAGTCATGTTCTCAGAATAGTTTTTTACATTTTCTAACTGAAAAGTTTTTTAAACATAAACCTCACAAAATTTAGTTAGATGTATGCCTTTAAACAAATACAAACAAACAAGCATTATACCCTGAAGGATAAACTGTTCTCAAGATGAATGTTCTCAATAAAAGAAAAAAAGTGTTAAAATATAACACACACGTATATACAACCAAACAAGATCATACAAAAATACTGATTAAGAAATGGACTCATTTGCAGTATGAAAACAACATCCTACCATTATTTACCTCATCAGATTTTATTATGAGTGAGCAATAAAGAACATCTTTACAATGTTGCTTTCTCTTTGAAAATAGTTTCTTTCTGCATTTCCTTACATCTCTTTATTCCCCATCCAGCACTCTTTCCCAATGGCATTGAAAACCACTGAAAAAACACATTTCCATGTCAACGGCTTATAAAATGTAAAAAGGTTCTCTTCTGTTCCACTGGGATAAAGAGTAACTTTTGCCAACTATCTGGCAGCACTTTGATATTTTGAGTGAATGGGAGAATAATCAACTTAATAGTGAAAATGTGTTAAAATCAAACTGTGTGACAGATCCAAACAGACAGCTTGTCTGAAGGAGCTAGAATAGTTTCCAACACTTTCTGTCCACGGATGCACTAACTCAGCGAAAAGGGAGGGATGCAATGTATCCACTGAGAGGGCACACACTTCTACATGGACCCCGCAACCCACCAGCCCTACACAGCACAGTAACACATTCTGCTAGATACCTTCACCAAACTTCCTCACTCGTTCCCTACACCCACCTTACAGCCGTCAAGCCAAGAAATGAGCCTGCATTACAAGAAATACATCAGCGACTGTAACATTTTAGACTCTGTAGATGCAGGCTGTATCATTTCTGCTTACTATCTAGGCCTGTCACGATAACAACTTTTTCTTGCAGATAAAACCTTTTTTGTAGAAGCAACTTTTAAATTTGAACTAGCACCTCATGACTACACCACGTTATGTACGAGAAGCTGCAAAAGACACAGGCGCGGAATGTACATACAAAACATGGTGACATTAATTTTTAAGTAAATATAATGGGCGATATATGATTTTGTGTCGAATGAGAGACCCAACGTTGGTTTCAGTTTCGTTTTAGCCTAAATGAATTCGTTTTGGCTTGTCGTTTATAGCTTCTTATATTTTTAATTCTTGTTCTTTTCAAAATATTGTTAATTGAAAGGATTTGTTGTGGAGTGAGGGGAACTCAAATAGCCTAGCTATGTTTACAGTGTTTATTATAATGTTTGTAAACATTTTGCGTTGGCATTAGGCCTATTTCTGAATGAAATAATAAAATGCGACTTATACGCGACTATGCATTTTTTATATATGGGTAGCGTATTTTAACCATGCAGCAAACCTTTTTAAATATTTTGATAAATTACTGAAAAAAATTAATAAATGACTTTTTAAACCGTTTAACTGATTGTATTAATCGGTCAAAAATTCTTACAGTCGGTTAATGGTTAACCGGTTAAAATGAACATCATCTCAAAGCTGAATAAATAAGCTTTCCATTGATGTATGGTTTGTTAGAATAGGACAATATTTGGCCGAGATACAACTATTTGAAAATATGGAATCTGAGGGTGCAAAAAAATCAAAATATTGAGAAAATCGCCTTTAAAGTTGTCCAAATGAAGTGCAATGCATATTACTAATAAAAAATGAAGTTTTGATATATTTATGGTAGGAAATTTACAAAATATCTTCATGGAACATGGTCTTTACTTAATATCATAATGATTTTTGGCATAAAAGAAAAATTTATAATTTTGACCCATACAATGTATTTTTGGCTATTGCTATACCCCAGCGAGTTAAGACTGGTTTTGTGGTCCAGGGTCACATATATTGATTATTGCGACAGGCCTAGTACTATCAGACTGCAGTTCTGGAAAATAAGGAAACAACACAAATAGCGCTGATATAAAAAAATTTTTTAATGGTCTCAAAGCAAGTTTCAGACCAAACACAGAACCTTCTAGACACCATGCGATTTATAGAAAAAGCAATAGTTTTCAGTCTAGTAGCTAATATGTGTTCTAAACCAAATAAACATTCAACATCTCAGACGATATACTACAGCCACTACATTTCTTCCATTCATTTTCACTGTGTGAACAGTTTTAATCCAGTTAGGCTCAAAGTAGGCTTTCTAACCCTAGCCTTAACCCTAAGCCCAAAGTATAGACTATAAACCTCTTAAATCACCTGTATTCTCTTAAAGTTACTTAACACTTCACTGAAGTATTTAAAACAGATGAGGTGCATGACAAATTCACCCAGTAACACTCTTCTGCTGTGACAAATGAACTGTGGGCTCGAGTCCAAACACTCTTAGGAGCTACACTCTTAATGTTCATGCCCTTTATCAACTCATTCCTCTACCTCAGTGGTCAAATGGCACATTATTACTCTACATGGTGGTGGTTGAGGAGATTCCCCCCTTCTATGTAAAGCGCTTTGAGTGCCCAGAAAAGCGCTATATAAATGTAAGGAATTATTATTATTATTACATGAAATGAAATCCAAGTCAAACTGGGAAATAACTCACGCTGCTTTAATAAGTGCTAGTTGGATGATGGTAGCTCAGCTAGAAACCTGAAACTTCTTTCTGGACCACCAAAGACTACAGATTTACAAATGCCTTAATGCATAGGTAATAAACTATCGAATTACACAGTTAATGTGATTTGTTGTTGGAGGCCTCTCTTGGAAATACACTGGCTAAATTAAACAAGTCACTTCTTAAAAGTCAGAAGGTATTAGATTTAGGGCTGATGTTAAATGAACATACATTCATTCCTCCAGCAGACAATGGCTCATCATTTTTATAACATCGCCTGTCACCATGGTATGTGTGAGTGGAGTTTTCAATACAACTAGGGATGCACTGATATTCAAATTCTGGATAAATGTTTTCACATTATTTTGTCTAAATAAATTGAATCTGATGTTTAAAATTTTACAAATGAATTTATGCACCAAAACATTATAATATACAGTATGAAAAATGGATGTTCATTTTGAGATTAGACTTTTTAACAGTGTTGATAAATTTTATCGTATTTTAAAGTGAATTTATGTGACTGTTAGATGACTGCAAAAGTAATCTGAATGTAAAAATAGAGGAAATGGGCATGAACAATTAAATATTCAATACTGACAGTCACCAAGAATGTAAAATATGGGACTGTAAACAAAAAAGGCAAACCATTCAAACATATTCCAAGTTTAGCATGATCAAATACAAAACTTTAAAATCAAAAGGCAGAGAAGGAACTGAGGCATCCAGATTTGTTCACTAAAACATCCGTCTGCTGGGCTAATGATAATATCACATGTTTAGAGGGGAAAACAACTGCGGTGCACACCAGGACATGACCTTGTGTAACTTATAATCAGCTTTCCTGACTATAATTTAGAATCCAATGCACCTTTCAAAAACTAAAACACATCCAACCTAATATATGCAGAAGAATGAAGAAAACAATGAAGCACATCTATATTGTGACTGCAAATTCATCAGGCACAGCAATACACTTACCAAACCTTTTGTAGCCAAAAGACTGCACTTCCTCTTCATCAGTGAAGTCGTCTGCAAAAGTAACAAATGACAATGAAATTAGTATATAGCAAGTGCTGCAGGCCTGTTAATCAAATAATGTCCTAAAATAATATTCATTAATATAATGTATATTCTATATTATTCTACTGTAAGTCGCTAAATATATATAAACACACAAAGAGCACATCAGCAGTCATTACTCATTAATAATCAAATCCTTATAATATGCTGATTTGGTTGCTCAAACATTTCTTTATTATTATAAATGTTGAAAAGAGTTGTGCTGCTTAATATTTTTATGGAAACCATGATGCATTTTCTTTTTTTTAGCATTCTTTGATGAATAGAAAGTTTAAAAAATCAAAGCATTTATTTGAAATATAAATATTTTCTAACATTCTAAATGTCGTTACTGTCACTTTTGATCAGTTCAATATATCCTTGCTGAATAACAGTATTAATTTATTTAAAAAATAAATAAAACTTAACTCACTGACTCTCTCTCTCTCTCTCTCTCTCTCTATATATATATACAGTGTCCTTTAAAAGTTTGGAGTTAGAGAAATTAGTGAAATATTATATTATACATTATTAGGCACAGACAACAAGCTCTAAAATGTCATCACACCAAATGTGACAATATTCATATGTTTTCTTTAAATAGGCCTATATATATTAGTGAAATATTAATATATTATACATTACTAGGCACAGACAACAAGCTCTGAAATGTCATAACACCAAATAAATATGACAATATTCATGCTTCCTCAGAAACAAGGTCAGTATATTATGCTGAGATAAATAACATAAACACACACATAACATCAGATTTGGAATTGATAAAAAGCATGTGTTCTGCATCTGACTGCTGAAATAACATTGGCCAGGATGGTCCATTCACGAGTTAACTAAATGATACCATCCTCTACTTCCTCTTCCTGTCCTGGAGCGCTCTCTCTTGTGGCTACCATGCTCATGGGAGAGGAGAGGGGTGACTCCAGGCGGTTTTATATGTCATTGTCCAAGGCCAGAGAAAATAAAGAAAGAACACATGTTTCTGTAGTTGGAGCCCACTCCCCCTCACTCTGATACTAAACCAGAGTCAGAACCGCAGGTGGGTGGGGGAACAGTCCGTTAGAAACCCCACAGAGTGTGACCTCAAGTCCAGCCATCCAACTGGACAGACACACAACACAACCCTCAGAGTGGAAAACCAGGGAACAAACAGCTTGGGACAAAGAATTGTAGACCGATGCCGACAGCTATTTCAGTATTTGAGCTGAAAATAACAACAAAACTCTGGGAAATGCAAAGGAACAAAACTCCCACACACCCAAAAAACAATATTTTTACAAAGCCACGGTCAGAAACTTCACATTGCAAGAGAAATATTGCTTGAAATAAAACTTTCGAGGTTAAAAATGTTATGCATGGAGGAGTATCACAGAAGACTGCGGATGACCATTACTCAGGGGAACAACAATTCACTGTGTGTGGTCTAAACACCCTTATTAGTTTTTTTTTTCCAATGTGCCTTTTGCTCTGTTTACTAATAATTAATATGTTAATGCTTTGAATTGATTTTATGGTGAATAAACATTTATCTAACCGAAAGATGAGTTATTTTACTTGTCTGAAGTCCAAAATCCAGGCAACCCACAGGAATCCACTTTTTGACACAAAGTGACAACTTCCTGTTTTTAGATACACATTAAGAAGTGATTTTTTTTTTTTATAATTGCACTGCATTCAATTCCAGTTGCATTAAAACTGCACTTCCAATGAAGCAAGATTTTTTAAAGTCAATTTTCATGCATATGGAGGCTACATGCATATATTACTTTTAGTTCTATATGAACTCACACAATATTTAGGCTACATTGAAATTTCCACTAGATGGCAGCCTTCTGGTTAAAAATGAGAAGAAGTTCAATGTTGCGTAACTCATAAGGCACAAAAATGTGATGTGAAGGCTTGGTGTTTGTCAAAACATCTGGCCATTGGACATGCAAAATGAGCCGTGGGGGTTGTTTTTACTGCAAGTGGCTCTCTGAGTCACACATTTAAATTCTGGGGTGCAGTTGAGATGGAAAACATCTTGGCTCATAGAACAACCCAATACAGAGGACCTTTTCATTTTTAATTATATAATCCTGACCCTTTATTTCCACAGCACAAATTACTGTAACTTAGAATTAAGAGCACATGACACTTTTAAATCTGCACTCATTAAATTTTTGTTATTCCTCCCAATAGTATAGCAGTTTACTTAGCCTGGATGAAACGTTTTTTGTTGCTGCTGCTGATTAACATTGAAGTTGTTTATCTTTTGTTACGTTTTCTCGTTCTAAGTTCTTTCTACTTGACTAAAAGAACTGACTAAAATACAGCTATATGAAATAAACATTATTATAGAAGCACCTAAAAAAGCTGATCATGTGATCTAAATATGACTGCATCCATAAGGGTGGACCCACTTCATGCAGAATCAAAAGATGATTCTAGAAGACTGATGGGCTATATCTGTATTATTCATCTCATGTCAGTGCACATTATTTTAATATCAACATAATATTAACATTTACTTTTTATAGTTCTCAAAAGTCCTGTTAATTTCATTTTGCGTAAAACTTTTAAGTTGTAATTAAAAATTATGAATCCAAACACGTACTTAACTGAACATTAACACGTTGAAGTCTATCAGATTTAATAGAAACTTATAGAAATGAGATTTCACAAGTTTTTCAACCCTTAGAGAAACATCTTCACACCCCGCCAGATGTTTCATTTGTAACGTGGCCACGTGTTTTGATTTTTTAAGATAAAGGGAGAAATGTCACTGAACATCCCACACAATAGCCGGGTCAGCAACACAAGGTTGTGTGTGAATCTATTCAGCTGTCTTATAACAGTTCAGCCAAACAATCCGCCAACCTTAGACACTACGAGCAGTTAATCGCAACCAGATGTTTCGTGCACTGGAGTAACACACATTCCTCTCACAAGAGAAAGAAAGAAAAGCAGAAAAAACTGAAGAGCGAGACGCGTGGATAGACTCAAGAGACTTCTCTTAAAAAGACAGTGCACTAAAAATGTGTAAGCAGTGGATAATTTGAAATGCAACTTACCCTTCATTGTGGTAAAACTGAGGTAACACCGTTCCGTCACGAGCCAAAAGTTCACATCAACCTCATGACAATAGCGGGGACTCAAGAATCGCACTCGCGCACTTCCACACTGAAGTTTCACAGATGCTAATATTCCACCTGAAACATGCGTAGAATGTTTATCACCCCCTCAATCCCTGTGACTGACGCTAAACTTAAAAAAAAAAATTCACACAACAAAAGGAAAATCTCGTGGACACGATGTTTAATGAGTCGCAGGCTACAAACTTCTGCTCAAGACGCAAACTTTTTCTCTCTCCATGAGAACGTGTTCGCGATGGAAATTCACTTGAGGTGAGTGAGGATGCCTCCTCTTCTGCCTTTTGGCTGCAACCCGAGAACCAGAGAGAAATTGGCAGTCCGTAGGATGTCTGTTAGTCCACTTGTTTTCTACATGAACTGAATCTCTTAAAGGGAAATCAGGTGAAAAGCAGCAGCAGCCTCCTCTTTTCTGAAACTCTGAACGTGCCGCACCGCTTCTGGAGTTAAACTTCCTCTTGTCTTGGCACATGGGAGGGTCTTACACGTTGCACGAGATAGTTTTTGTTGAGCTTGGAGTGCTGTGAAATCTTAATCGGTAAAGAAACAATATAGAAAACATTACAACTCAAACGTAATTGTGTTCACCCAAAAACTCAGCATTTCTAATACCTCTATACTCCTCACTGTTCTTCACCACTGTGATGATTGCTTAACATGGGTTAAAACCTAGCATGGGCCAACCTTTCAGTGTAGAAAAAAAGTCTATCAACACTTTTATGTCCACTATTAGGCTGGAATAATGTATATGAAGTGAAGACTGGAGTTGTGACAAACGAAAGCTTTATATCGGTAACTACAAAGTAAAGTTACAAAAATGAGTGTTTTCTCTAGCAGTGGTTTTGTGTGTAGGTTTCAAATATCTAGTTCACACCCATCTTAAATTCAAATTACTACTTTACAAATTATATACTAATATAATATTTCTCTGTAGTTGGTGGATAAACAAGTGAACAAAGTAAAATCTCACTGCAAGATGTTGTCATGTGTTTTAAAGGGATAGGGACAACCTGATGACATATAACAGTAACCATTGACTTCCATATGAGAAAAATACTATGGAAGTCAATGGCTACCGTCAACTGTTTGGTTACCAACATTCTTTAAAATGTCTTTTTTTTTTTTTTTGTTCAACAGAAGAAATAAACTCTGTTTAAGGTTTGTAACAAGTGGGAGGTTTGTAAATGATGACAGAATTTTCATTTTTAGGTGAACTATCCCTTTAAGCTTTATGTAATTACACAATAATATAATTACATTATATAATTATTAATTTAACTGTTTCCTAAATTATGTTACATAGATTTTTAATTTAAAGTTAGACTGAAAAGCTTGTAATAGGCTGTTAAAAGCAAGTTCCATTTTGATAGTTTCTCCCTTATAATGTGACAATATTCTCCATTACAAAAGGTCATCATGCGTTCAAAAATATCGTGTTGATCATGTGTTTAATGTAATAAAACATGTCCAACACCAAGTGTCATGTGTTATATGACAACAACATTAACATGATAATATAGGTTTGTATATATGCTTCATATAAAGTGTTACTGAATCTTTTCTTAATTAATTATGGTGCTATTTTTCAAATAAATGTCTTAGGTATGCCAGCGTTTTGGCTCTGAATTCCAGGGCTGCCAAGTGAAAAGTCCTTTGCGTGTGTTGACTGTTGCTCAAAATTGCTTGCACAACTGTTCCGCTCCCTTCGGGTTTAATAAGCACACAGTTCATTTTGTTCTTTCTTTGCATTTCTCTCTAAATCCCTTTGCCACAGGGATCCGTGATTAATTTTTTGACATCCCGCTGGATTGTTCAGAATCGTGTGATCCGCTGCAACCACACAAGTCTAGCACCACACTGGCCAGAAATGTTTTTCCAACTTAACGAGGCTAAGCGCTAATGTAAAAAAAAAAAAAAAAAAACAGCTCCAACGTATTAAAGCTGCACTGCTGGGCTCTAAACTTTGTGTGCCCTCTTAAGTATCGGAAGTTTTTGTGCCAGAGCAGGTGCCTTATCCATTTTTATTGACCTTCGGAATGACACTTTACTTTCAAACTTTACCATGGTGACCATAGTTTCCACCAAAATACCATAGTTGCTACTGTTGTTACAGAAATGAAACAAAATGATTCTGAAAGCTTACAGCATTTGAAGGACATCCAATATGGTAAAAATCTGGCAACTTTTCATGGTACTTTTTCATAAGGAGGTCTGTATCGTTTTATACTAAAGCAATGTTTTCAGAGCATGTTCTGTCGTTACTGTTTATATGTATTCTGAGGTTTCCGTGCTCTCAGATCCAGTAATTCACCCTCGGCGTGCCAACTGCCAGGTCTTTGGCACTAGATGAGCGCGACAGATCCAGATAGGGTTATGAGAAACAGGTGTGTTTAGACTTAGCAGAGATGGACATACCAGTGGCCCATATTGCTGTTTCTCATTAGAGGTTAGAAAATACTATTTTCAGGGTCACAAGCCCTGAAGAGAGGGCACTTTTACAAGGACATGGTGCGCTAATGAGAAACGTGAGGGGAATGTGGGCCTACACCACGTCTTTGTTGCCAGTTTCTACTTCGTTATATATGCAAGGTTAATTTTAAACCTGGAGACTTTAAGACTTTGTGATATACATCATAAAACTGATCAAATTTACCTTTACCTAAAATTGATTTTTACCCAAATTTACCTTTGTTCTAAAAAATAAGTAAAACTATAAAAATGCCATAACACAATTAGCAAACACTTCCATTCAACAGTTTGCTGTCTTTTTATTTATTTTTTAATTTTTTTAAAGTAATTTATACTTTTATTCAGCAAGGACATTAAATAACAATAATAATAATAAATGGTGTTGTTTTAAACTGCCTATTCATTAAAACCTGAAAAAGTACTTTATCACAATTTTCACAGAAATATTCATGAGTTTTGTGAAAGTTTTCAACATTAATAATAATAAGAAATGTTTTTTTAAGCACCAAATCAGCATGATTTCTGAAGGATTGTGTGACGCAGAAGACTGGAGTAATGGCTGCTGATAATTCAGCTTTACAGCACAGGAATAAATTACAGTTTAAAATATATGAAAATAGAAAACAGAAAAAATACAATATTATATCACAATAGTACTGGTTTTAGTGTATTTTTAAATTTGAAAAAATGCAGCCTTGGTGAGAAGATTCTTTCAAAAACATAAAAAAAAAAAAAAAGTGTACCATGTTAATAAATACAAATTCCAGATAGCATCATTGTGCTGATATAAAAATGCTGCATGTTTGTAAATATGTGTAACTAGGTACTGAGAACAGCTAAACAAAAGCTAGTTACATCTTGGAGGGTCATAACCTTTAAATGCATTAATTGGATCGTCTCTGGTTCTACTTAGTATAAATAGAAGTGTTCAGGTAAAGATAAACAACACACCTTCCCTCTGCAGCAAACAGCATTAATCACACTGCATAGTCAGACATCAGTAGGAATTTTCTGGTGAGTTCCTATCCTTTGATCTTCATATAATGTTAGAGAGCTCTGTTTACTTATCTCTCATAATATATAGTGAAATATGATCATGGTTTATTTACATTAATAATATTATTGTATACTTTGTAAAGATCCTGAAATGTTTAATTGGACAGTACTGTATGATTACTTATGATCACACAGTGTATTTTACTGTGGACGGAAATCAAATATGCTAAACGTGAATTGCCATGTTGATATATCACTGATCTAATGATGATCTAAAAACAAACAGATCAATAATGAATATAAGCAATTAGGCATGCACATACAATCTACAGATAATTTTAGGATGTCAACACAGAGCTAATTTTATACTAAATGAAGTTATCTGTGGCATTTAGTTGTTAAATACTTAAGCAGTGATTTAAAAGCACATCCTCATTTTGACTAATGCAGACACTATTGTGTAACAAACTTGGCCACAAATATCAATGGCAGAAAATTATGTACTGATCGTTTTACCAGCACTCAGACATATGATGTGACAGCTTTACAACACTAGCTTTTGACATGGACCTACCAAATATATTGGCTCTGTTGTGTTCATTTAAGACAACAGATGGTAATGAAGTAAAGCTGGTGAACTTGTGCACCTCTGGTGGTATTTCTAGAATATTCTAGAATGCATTGCCTCTTAAGATAACACCTCATGTGTCTGGTTGCAGATCTCGAAAAGAAGACAAAATGGAGGGTTTTGGGTAGATAGTCACAAGACTTGTTTGGCTCTATAATATGAAGCCACATTCTGTAACCTCTTAAACTGCTTAATAGATCCCATATTACACCTACTTAATCCCAGAAAGAAGCTTCTAGAGAATTGGGCCTCGATTCTCAGTGGAAGTATCTGGAAGCAAACATAACAATGGATTAGATACACGGACTAAAGAGTGACATATACTGACTGTAAGTTATAAAACACTGAATTTCTTTGAACCGTGAATTTTCAGTGAAGATGTAGTGCCACTCAGTGGTTACTCACAGCTATTACTGCTCCTTCATTCTCATGATCAAAACTCTGAGACTGACTGGGGACAAAAAGGAGAGACAAGATGTCTTATTATTGTGTATTATATATTATAAAGCCTTTCAAAAAAAAAAAATAGCTACAACTATTTTATGAAAGTCTCTAAACCACCTACTTGTTTCTTAAACGGGTTGTGTTACTCCTTTGAAGTTGCTGAGGATGAGGGCGTTGATCTTCTCTCTGGTTTTACTGGCGTCTCCGGGGGCCTTTCATTGTGCCCCTGATACTGCCCCACCTCCGATATCAGCCAACACTCTCAAACGTGAGTGCATCCTATAGCAGAAGAAATGAATATTATGACTATGTGCTCAAATGAATACACAAAACCAGGGAACAACCTAATGACATGTAGATGACCTGAAACGTGATGGTCTTTCAGGCCTGTCTCTGGAAGGGGAGAAGCTGGTGGATCAGGAGGTCAGCAAAGCACTGTTTGGGATCAAACAAATGAAGGAGGTGATGGCCAGGAACGAAGAGAAACATGCAAACCTCATGAAGTCCCTCAGGCACAGCGGGGAGAAGAAAAAGGTCAGTGAATATTTAAGTGGGATTTTTTAAAACCAAAATAAACAGTCTTTCTAGTTGTGTTAAACAAAAAATTATAAACATAAAAGTGCCATTTTGATATAAATGTTCGAAACCTGTCATTGGCTTCTTGCACCATCAGGGTGCAGCAGAGACCGCACAGGATATAGAAAAGAAGCTGAACGAAGCCGAGCAGCAATGTAAGGAGTCTCTAAAGTCCTCCTGGGAGGAATGTCGACCTTGTCTTGAAGACACCTGTAAGAACTTCTATACCAACACCTGCCGCCGTAGATTCGCCACCTTCACCAATAAAGTACAGAATTCTCATCCACATTTGCCATTCAAATGCTGTGTTTTGAAACAATTTGATAGCTATAAATGGAATGAAAATACCAAAGTTGTATCATGTATTTTTCTGTTCTCCACAGCTACAGAACTTCTTCCAAAGGCTGAGCTCTCGCTTTGGCCCTCGTGATACTCAGGATGAGGTTGTGCTGAACCAGAGCGCAGAGAATCCTGACCTGGAGGTGGTGAGGATCGAGGACTCCTTCAGCAACCTGCTCACCGAAGTGGGAAGCCTGGTCAATCGCAGTGTCGTGCTGGTCTCCCACTTCCACCATGAGCTGGACCAGGCCCTACGAAGGGCTTTCAGCCCTGAGCTTCAGGAGGATAAAGAGAGCGAGCTGGTGCTGAAGCCTTCCAACAAAGCTCTGGAGGGTGTGGGACTAGAAGATGTGCTGGAGTCCTTCTTTGACTTTGGCAGAAGTGTGTTGGAGGAGTTTGGGGCCGTAGTCACACAAGCCTTCAGTGACATTCATGATGCTATGGAGAAGACCGAGGAGGAGAAAGGTGCATTATCCTGACATGTGTGTTCAGCCATAAATGAAAATTCGGAAGCACTTTATTTTACAATCCTGTCCCTCATGTACATACGATGTACTTGTTAAAGTAAATATTATAACTAGGTAATAACCCTGGCCTGAACCTACCCCTAAACCTATCTCTATCCCATGTAGTTACCTTGTATTACCAGTACTTTCTTAGGTAAGTACACATAAGTACACATACCGAAAATTCTGCCATCATTTACTCACCCATCATTTACTCACCCACAAAACCAATGACATTATTGGGACACAAACCGTAGTCACACAAGCCTTCAGTGACATTCATGATGCTATGGAGAAGACCGAGGAGGAGAAAGGTGCATTATCCTGACATGTGTGTTCAGCCATAAATGAAAATTCGGAAGCACTTTATTTTACAATCCTGTCCCTCATGTACATACGATGTACTTGTTAAAGTAAATATTATAACTAGGTAATAACCCTGGCCTGAACCTACCCCTAAACCTAACTCTATCCCATGTAGTTACCTTGTATTACCAGTACTTTCTTAGGTAAGTACACATAAGTACACATACCGAAAATTCTGCCATCATTTACTCACCCATCATTTACTCACCCACAAAACCAATGACATTATTCTGTGGGACACAAAAGGTGCATACATAAATAATAATTTGGCCATTCTTTGCAATACAATGAAAGTCAGAATAGGGGCTGTCAGTTTTCACAGTACTTTTTAATCATACAAAGTAATTAAAACAGTTCACATTTAAGTAAATAATGATAGAATTATGGGTTAACTATTACTTTAATGCAAGAATCCGCCTGTACAAAGTTCCCAAGGCCAATTCAGAACGATGTTTTCTGGCTGATAAACTATGAAAACATAAACAGCCTAATCAAAACCCTAATCTAAAGCCTGCACTCAGAACAAGTAAAATATTACCATCCGTCATTTCTGACGCTAATATGCTTATCATTATTATAGTTCAGGCCCGTTCACACCGTGCACGATAACTATACCATCAGAATCTACCGGACTCGAGCATTTAAAGAGGCAGACGAATCATATAATAAACAGAACCTTATATCGTCCAGTGTTGTGGATGTTAATTAGTTATTGTTTATTTTGTGGGTGTTTAAAAACGAGCCTTCACGCTAATAGAATAGAATAGCTCAGGCCACAATTCCAACTGTGACACAGAGAAACAACATGGAATGACTTTCAGAGCTATTTTATCCAGATGATGATCGATAAAAACATTGACAGACAGGGGTGTAGCTAGTGGGGGCCAAGAGTTATTGGGGGTCTCACAACAATCCCCCAGTTGATGAATGATAAAACATTGACAGCCAATAGGAATCCACCTGATTTAAAAGAGCTTGAGCTTTTAAAGTAGCAGACAACCTAACTGCAGTGTGCTCTTAAACAGAAAGTTATTGTGCGCTGGTGTGAATGCTAATATAGTTATCGATCTTGGTTTGAACAGGCCTTAACTTTCTCTACATGTGTCTCTATTCACTCCAGAGAGGAAACTCTTCCCTCAGCTTCTACAGGACAAGAGGCTGTGCAAAGATCTGCGCAGACAGTCCTCAGAGTGCTGGCAGCTGCAGAGCAAGTGTGAGGCCTGCCAGGGAAACTTGTTTACCGGTAAGAACTCACACTCACATTGATTAGTTGAATGGGTAGTTCACCCAAAAATGAAAATCCTGTCCGCCTCATTCTCATGTTGTTTCAAACCTGAATTTATGGAACACAAAAAGGGAAAATCCTGTACTCACTACATTCCAGCTCTTCAGAAGTGTGAGGAATAGACCGAAGTCATTGTTTATGAAGACATTATTCACTGACAATTAACTGTTAACTACCAGATGAGAGTGAGTGAGTTGATATTGAGAATCGGATCATTCGGACTCATGAAAGAATAAATCAGGCTGGTTAGTGAAACTGATCCAACTGATTCATTGCAAAAAATGACTCCGAAGAACAAGCTGTTCTCCTCACCATCGTACAGGCTCCGGAATTTATCTTTTATCATTGTGTTCCATGGAAAAACTGAAATCATACAGGTTTGGAACAACATGAGATTGAGTGAATGAAGACAGAATTTACATTTTTGGGTGAACTGTCCCTTTAGAAAACTCTTACCAGTGATACTGATCACTTCAAGTACTTATTGTTTGATTCCAAGAATGCCCAAATGTAAGAGAACTACACATCGAGTTGGATGAAGCCTCTCAGCTGTTGGAAGCGTCCAAGCAGCAGTATGAAGAGGTGCTGGGCATTGTGCAACGTCACACTGATGACACCATCAGCTGGCTCAGCAACATGGCCTCTGACTTTGGTTGGGTGACTGAGCTCGCCAATAACAACACCACACCTGAGAGCATCTTCAGTATTGCTACGGTGAGCCACTTCCAAGAAAATATCATCGTATTACCCTTTTTTTGTCATACTGTGCTATTTTGGACATGTAGCATGGTAGTACCATGGCATTCATTGAAATACTATGCTACATGAATATGGAAATTATTCAGTAGGTGAGAAATAAAGCAACAGTGGTGGTACGTCACACTGATGACACCATCAGCTGGCTCAGCAACATGGCCTCTGACTTTGGTTGGGTGACTGAGCTCGCCAATAACAACACCACACCTGAGAGCATCTTCAGTATTGCCACGGTGAGCCACTTCCAAGAAAATATCATCGTATTACCCTTTTTTTGTCATACTGTGCTATTTTGGACATGTAGCATGGTAGTACCATGGTATTCATTGAAATACTATGCTACATGAATATGGAAATTATTCAGTAGGTGAGAAATAAAGCAACAGTGGTGGTCGATTTAGTTGATACTAAATCTATTGATCTGAAAAAAAAAAAAAGTTTGTGGCACAGACCGAGGAGGGCGACAACACCCCAGCAGCAGACACTACAGTGGAAGTGAATATTCTCAACTCCCCCACTCTCACCCTGACCGTTCCTGTGGGTCTCAGGCTGCAGGATCCTGCCTTCATCCAGTATGTGGCACAGGAGGCTCTGGGCATGTACAAGCAGATGGCCAGGTGAGACACTTTCCAATTAGTCACATCATGCAACATGTCAGAATAGTTCACACTCATCAGCACACATTTCACAGGGACAGTTCACCCCACAGTTTAATCACATAAATCAGAGGTTCTTAACCAGGGACTGAGGGAGCCAATGTGGTGCCATGCTTAAAAGTATTTAAATTATTAACCCTATCAAGCTTGCTGCATATTTGATACATGGATTTTTAAGGGCTGTAAAATATCAAAATGACAAAAACATTGATGAAAAACCTGTTGATAGTTCATACTTTTTTTTTTTTTTTTTAGCAAGAAAAAGGCCTGTGAGTATAACTGTAAAAATGTTTGTCAAAAATCTTTGATGATTTCTATAAAGTACATATAAGAATAAGTTTTATATTTTATTAATATTTCAATATAATCATTTACTGGACTGAATCAACCTAGTTTTATTTATGTACATAATATAAAGAAAAATAGTGTTAAAATGCATGCATCAATTATCATACAACAGGCTTTTGAGGAACGTTTATTTGTACATCTCTCATTCACCATCATCCTGTATTTTGATGCGTTTGCCCCCAAAATAAAAAAACACAGCACCGATCATAAAATTAAGTATTTAAATATCATCTTACAAAGTCATAATATTGGGAGATATGACAACTGATACTTCTGTGAATTTGTTCCAAGTAGTCTGTTATACAGTTATAAAAATCTAACTGATTTACATTACAAGCTATCAGAATTTTATCTTACTTTTTGCCCACTTATAACAACAGCTGCACCAAATTGCATAGTTTTTCTGTTTGGGCCCCTGAATAACATTTATAGCTACATAGTCTCATCATACTATATGGCCCATAAAAGCTTTAATTACAAAAATATAAGCAATTAAAAAAAAAAGATGTTTTATTTAAAGGTTCAATAAAGAGTTTGAAAAAATCTGACTATGTCAGACTCTACAGGGTTAATATTTTAAAATGATCTAAACTAACTCTAAATTTAAATGTCAAAAAAGGTAGGTAGTGGATCTAATGCTCACCTCTGACTAGTCTAACTGTTCTTGTTTTTCTTTTTTTTAGGCATGATGATGTATAATCTACAAGTCATCAGTTTTCTTCCCAGCACTAACCAGGGTACACTGGTACCATTCTATATTCTATGTATTTAGTTATATTTTATGCATTGTGTTAAGTTTAAGAGTCAAGTCACTGCAATTATTGTTATTTATTTATGGTCTTATCATGTGACAGGTTCCAGTTAGCTGCATTTGTAACTTGTCTTGTGTTAACTGACTTAAACATCAGTATGTCAGAAATGTACTTAAAGTATATTAGAAATATATATCAATGTGTGATTGTAAACGGGTATAACAATCACTCCTTAAAAATAATTAACTTTTAGTGCAAAACCATTTCTCGTTTATTACATTCGTTGGAAAAAATCTGACTATGTCAGACTCTACAGGGTTAATATTTTAAAATGATCTAAACTAACTCTAAATTTAAATGTCAAAAAAGGTAGGTAGTGGATCTAATGCTCACCTCTGACTAGTCTAACTGTTCTTGTTTTTCTTTTTTTTAGGCATGATGATGTATAATCTTACAAGTCATCAGTTTTCTTCCCAGCACTAACCAGGGTACACTGGTACCATTCTATATTCTATGTATTTGGTTATATTTTATGCATTGTGTTAAGTTTAAGAGTCAAGTCACTGCAATTATTGTTATTTATTTATGGTCTTATCATGTGACAGGTTCCAGTTAGCTGCATTTGTAACTTGTCTTGTGTTAACTGACTTAAACATCAGTATGTCAGAAATGTACTTAAAGTATATTAGAAATATATATCAATGTGTGATTGTAAACGGGTATAACAATCACTCCTTAAAAATAATTAACTTTTAGTGCAAAACCATTTCTCGTTTATTACATTCGTTGGCCTTTATGCGTTCACTCTGGGAAATCTAAAAACTATAAAGCATTATAAATGTTTAATATAATTCTTGAGCATGTTTCCATGGAACCTTGTTTCTGTCTCAGAGTTAAAAAAAATGTAATTGTGTGAAACTTACAATAATAAATAAAGCCACATTGAGATATGCACTGATATTGCAAGATCCAAGTTCAGATTATGCACTTTTTTTTTTTACACTGTCAGGTGGAAAAGAGCTTCCATGTTTCTGTTCAGTCCCAATGCCATCTACCTAAATTTTCGAGTTCCAGTTCAAAAGTCTGAACAACACAAACACACATGATTTACAAATAACCCCATGGAGTTAAAAGCATTACGTAAAACTTTATTTTTTTACTGTACAAATTCTTCAGATTAGTAATCGTAACCATTGTTTCACAACAAACGTCCTCATCAAACTCTGCAGCGGAGACCCTCACCTTACATTAGAGTATTTTCTTTCGTTTTTTGACACAAAGAACAAAAATCAATAACAGAGTTTTGCACAAACTTGCCTGTAGCCCTTGTAAAACAGGAGGTGGTGATGGGAGAGATGTCTAGTGGATGTCCTGGATACAGGAGGAGACAATAAAGTCCCTAGGACAAAGGGCTCACGTACAGGAAGGACAAAAGCAAGGCCTCTCGCTATATATGTAAAGCTACATGACAAAAAGGGAGAAGAAACCAACAAATTAGCCCTCCAAACGATATCGGTCTGATTCATCCCAAGTACATTCAATTCCTTGTCATGGATAAAATGAACCCGTTACAGACAGTACATGACCAAACATTAAGACTAAATCTGTAATAGTGGTGCAAAAATTGTACGGCTGTATGATGAGGTCTAATTTGCCTTCTCCATTAGACTTGTACCATTTTAACAGATCAAGGAAAACATCAAAATCACATACTTTTTTAAAAATGCGCTCAGGATGAAAGGCAAATTTTACGGACTCCATCAAACTTTGGTTGGTAAATGGTCTCTATCTGTAGTACCTGAATATTTCACAGTGACGCCTTAACAGGAAATGTAACAACTCCACCAGCAGCAAATGTGGTACATCATGGAGTTAAAAAGGCTTTGTAATTCTGATTCCTGGTCAAAAACAAAGATCGGTGTGAAATAATTTGAGCAAGTTCACATTCGTATGTCAAGATGAAGAAACCATTGCTCTCTTTAAATATACTGAAATGATGTATGAAATCATCTGTGAAAGATCAATAAATCTCTGTGGTTCATTTATTGGAGTGTACATGAGAGAACAATGAATTGGTACCAAGAGGTTGGCAACACTACAAATGTGTTGGCACAAAAAACACAAACCTAGCAGTGTGGGTGCTGATGTGCGTAAAAAAAGCAACTCAGGCATTGCTGTTGTGATATTGCGACCTGTCGGGTCTCAACAGCAGCATGAGGAATGATGTTTGGACTGGTCAGGTCTAGTGTTTCGTTAATCAAAAGTCTCTCTGCTTAATTACCCTTGAGACAAAAATACGATTTATAATAATGACTTTTTGCTTGAAAATTAGCAGCTGGCTGAAATGGCGATCAGTCGTCAGAAATGTTTTGTGAAGGCTTTCCAATATGAATCATCTCTCAGGATATGATTTCAAGCTCTCATAGAGATTGAGATTAATTGAAACTGAAATGAAGGTACTTATTAAAAATCATGCTTTGCTATAAAAGTGTTTTAGAGAAAAACAAATTCTGCCCCTGTAATTGATGTCTTAAACTCAAGCTCCCATACATTCAGAACGGCTTATGCCCTCATGCGTCTCATTCTCTCTGTCCTTCTTTGACTTTCACTTTCCCGTCCCAACAATGGCACTGTCACTGGTAGCGCCAACCGATTCAACCACAGTTATTGGTCACTTTTAATAAACTACTCAAACTACCAAATAAAATTTTTTAAAAAAGGGGGAAAAGAAAAATGAACAACTTTAAAATAATAAAGATTTAGTGTTCAGGTGAAAAAGAAAACAGACAAAAAAAGGGAGAGAAAAACAAAATAGATAAAGAAAAATGAAAGAAACAGCTGATTTTGTGAACCAGTCATCAGCACTAAGCTCATCGCTTGTTTCACAGCTCCCTCTGTCTGCAGTGCAGGGAATCACCCCAGCAGAGCTCTGGGAGCGTGACGTGGTCCCGCTCATACACACACCCTCGTCAACTCCGCCACACACACATCCTCAGGCAGAGAACAGCCTGTATCTGCAGTGAAAGACATGTTTTAGATGCACTAATAGAGTTTTTAAGTTTAACTCTGGGGGGAAAAGAAAGAAACAAAAACATCTCTGTAAGGACAAGTGTGCAGGGGAGCTGTAGGGAGGAGGTGCCACAATGGGTTTGGGAACCGTCCTGGTGGCTTATTAGCACGTATCTGGGTCCCGTAGAAGGTCTCTACAGGTTGTCTCCGGGCTGGTACTGTGGCTCAGTGGCAGTGAAGTAGTCCTCCAGGAAGGACTGGATGTATTCGAAAGTGGGCCGCTCGTCTGGCTCCTTCTTCCAGCAGAGCTGCATCATTTCGTGCAGCGACTCCGGGCAGCCCTGAGGACACGGCATCCTGTAGCCCCGCTCCACCTGCTCCAACACCTCTCGGTTCACCATGCCTGAAAAACAGTTGATACCGAGTCAGTTTGTGCAACCGCCCACTGTTCAGCGGCCAGACTGTCTCAGACAGGATGTGAGGGGTGTGTAATTACAGCGGACACTTCGCTTGGAACCCACAGAGGACGGGAGTGTCGAGGACAGAGGGGACAGACAGTCTGGTGCTGCGTGAGAGGACAGGAAGTGTAAATCAGTGGGTCGACTGTATCCAAGAGCTCTCTCAGAGAAAGGATTCTTTATCTTTATGCATGCGAGAAACACCGTATGACCTTTTTGAGCTCAGCCTACTTTCATTTACTCTCGCTTGCATAATGACTCACAACAATAAGTCTTATGTGTGCTAAACTTGAATCAATAAATCTTATGTTAAGTGGGAAGTTAAAAAGCTGCTGGACTTCCTGTTGTGGCTTGGATGGAAATGCTTAAAGGGATAGGTTCACCCAAAAATGAAAATTCTGTCATTAATTACTCATCCTCATGTCGTTCCAAACCTGTAAGACCTTCAGTCATTATCAGAACACAAACTAAGATATTTTTGATGCAATCTGAGAGCTCTCTGACCCTTCATAGACCGAAACAGACAACTGTAAAGTTCCCAGGTCCAGAAACGTAGCAAGGAAATCGGTAAAATAGTGACATGAGGGGTTCAACGTAATTTTACGAAGCTACGAGAATACTTTTTTTGTGCAAACAAAACAAAAATAACTTTATTCAACAACACTTCTCCTCATCAAGTCTCTTGGAATGTGCTGCCATTGTGGACAGAGTATCACGACGCATGAGCTTGCTTCCGCATCAAGTAAACGATGCATGCGAAGCTGACGCATGTGCGTGTTACGTAAGCAGCGGCACCATGCGCATGTGTTGTTTACATGATGCGGAAGCAAGCGCATGCATCGTGATACATTTAAGTAGTTATTTTTGTTTTCTATGCACACAAAAAGTATTCTCGTAGCTTCGTAAAATTACGGTTGAACCACTGATGTCTCATGGACTATTTTACCAATTTCCTTGCTACGTTCCTGGAGGGTGAGTAATTAATGACAGAATTTTAATTTTTGGGTGAACTATCCCTTTAAGGCAAAGCACTGTCATATATTACAGATTATAAACTTTCTCTTTGACTCCAGTATTTGCACTATGAAACAATTCAAACCTGTACAGCCAAACAGTGTACACTAACATCCAAAGGGCATCTGCTCAAGGTTAAAATGCTGATAGTTTAAGGCTCTCTATTACTGGGGTTCAAACTTACAAGCTTTTGGCAACGAGCCCAGTTCTTTAACCACTAAGCCACATTGCCGGCACTTGAGTGAAGTTGCCGCATTAATCCAGCCTCTTCTAGGGCTCTGCATGGAAGCAGATGCCCATCAATAATGGACTGAGTCTAATAGTGTATGACTGAATGATTGATGAAAGCCTAACTGGGTTTGTGATGTGCAGCATCAGTGAGAGGCTTTAGGTAAGCACTACAAATGACAGACTGGGCCGTGTGAGGGACGGGTGCAGGAAGGGAACAGACAGATGGTGGTAAATAAGAACTGGTGCCCAGTCAGTCCTTCATGCCCGCCTAAGCCAGATGGCTCCTTCGGTGTAGTAATAACACACCCAGCAGTCCCTCTCTGCTCCAGTAGGGGGCACAGTGGAATCTGCACCTCTCAGTTTGGAGATCTACCTACCTGCAGGCCTGTTGGATCCCAACCCTGCTTGAACACAATTGCCTGTGATTTTTTGAGTAAACCTGAAGACCATGATTAGCTGGTTCAGGTGTGTCCCACTGGTTATGCATGATATTAAAGGGGTAGATCACCCAAAAATTAGATTTCTGTTGTTATTTACTCACCCCCATGTCATTCAAGCCCATTAGA